TTAGAAACACCACTTTGCTTCTTGGCAATCAGGGAATTTTAGTCCCAGGTAACAGTAAAAATTTAATACCCCATTCTGAAAAACTGTTTGGATAACTTTGCTACTCACTGTTAGGAAAAACATCTGCTTTTGCCTGCTAGAAATAATTTTTACTTGTCCCATGCCCACAGAAAGACATATAAGGAGCACTTCTGGTCACTGGCCAACCATTGGAATTGAAAAATATATGTGCTGCCATTTGAAAATAGATCAAATTGAGATTATTGATGTGAAACCATGGTGGACATGGTTAACCTACAGATCAGTAAGCTATGAAACAGAAAGTGATATTGTGTTGCATAGCAAGTAGTTAAAATCTACAGTGTTTCAAATATTAAAAGTAAGCTTGGAAAAGAAAAGAAAGGATTCCTAACTTTATAGAATAAGTTCTCCTTTAGGGTCAATTCCCTAAAGCAATGGGAGAGCAAACCAAGTTGAAGAGATCCACTGAAGGTTTTTGGTGGAGAAAATCAACTCATATTAGAAAAGAAATACAAAGTTGTAAATATATGAAGACTTTACATGGAATTGTGTGAAGAAGTTCAATATATTATTATCATTACTGCTTCTTACACTGGCACCCCAACCTCTCATATTTTCCCTCCCTCTTTTACTACACTTGAATTTAAATAACATGAATCCAGAAAAACTTTGGCTTGAAAGTGTTAATTATGAAGTAGAGCATTGTTCTTTCAAGGTCTGTGAAGAATTGTGTTGGAATTTTTATGGGGATTGCATTGAATCTGTAGATTGCTTTTGGTAAGATGGCCATTTTTACTATGTTAATCCTAACGACCCATGAGCATGGTAGATCTTTCCATCTTCTGATATCTTCTCCAATTTCTTTCTTCAAAGACTTGAAGTTCTTGTCAAACAGTTCTTTCACTTGGTTGGTTAGAGTTACACCAAGATACTTTATATAATTTTTGGTTATTGTGAAGGGTTTTATTTCCCTGATTTTTTTCTCATCTCATTTTCATTTGTAAATAGAAGTGCTACTGATTTTTTTTTTTTTAGTTAATCTTGTAACCAGCAATATCACTGAAGATGTTTATGAGCTGTAGGAATTCCCTGATAGAATTTTTGGCATTAATTATTCATACTGGCATATCATTTGCAAATATGATACTTTGACTTCTTCCTTTCTGATTTGTATCCCCTTGACTTTTAGTTATCTTATTGCTTCAGCTAGAATTTCAAGTGCTAGATGAATAGATATGGAGAGAGTAGATAGCCTTATCTTGTTCCTAATTTTAGTGGAATTGGTTTGAATTTTTCTCCATTTAATCTGATGTTAAGGATTGACTTATTGAATATTGTTTTTATTATGTTTAGGCATGTCCCTTGTATCCCTGATCTCGCCAAAACTTATCGTGAAAGGGTGTTGGATTTTGTCAAAGGCTTTTTCATCACCTGATGAGATGATCATGTGTTTTGTTTCTTTTGATTTTTTTATACTGTGAATTACATTGACAAATTTTCATATGATGGACCCTCCCTGTGTCTCTGGAGTGAAGCTTACTTGATCATGGTAGATCATCTTTTTTATGTGTTCTGGATTCAATTTGCAAGTACTTTATTGAGTATTTTTTCATAGATGTTTGTAACACAAATTGCAAAATGGTCTTTTAATAAAAACCCAGAGCCAGATATTGGGGTAAATGCTGAAAGATCAGAGAGACAAAGAACAAGCCACAGCTACTTCTTACCTCACAAACTTCACAAATCCTCTGACTGAATGTCTCTGAGTCCTCAGCCAAAAAGGGTCCAGCCAAAAAGGGCTTTAGTTCCAGTCTCCTCAGGCCTTATATACCTTTCTCTGCCCAACCATATCCCTTCCTTCCTAGTGCTGGGATTAATAGTATGTGTGCTTCCCAAATGCTGGTAGCAAAGGCATGAGATCTCAAGTGCTGGGATTAAAGGTGTGTGCCACCATTGTCTGGCTCTGTTTTTCTACTAGACTGACTCAATCTCATGTAGTCCAGGGTGGCTATGAACTCACAGAGATCCAGACAGATCTCTTCCTCCTGAGTGCTAGGATTAAAAGTCTGTGCCACTACTGTCTGGCATCTATGTTTAATCTAGTGGCTTGTTCTGTTCTCTGATCTTCAGGCAAATTTTATTAGAGTATACAATATATCACCACATTTTCCCTTTTTGTCTAAAATAATAAAAGAAGGTTATAACTAATATAAGAAAAACTACATACAATAAGTATAGATAATATATACACTCAAGAATTACATTAACAATGTCCAGTCCATAAACATTTGACAAATTCAGAGAAAATACTCTATCCTACTTTGGTGAGTCCAAAATGTTGTACCTAATTAACTTTCTATCCTAATTTACATTACCAACCCAAAACTGTCTTTTGATGTCTTTCAAACTTATAAATTATACAACCCTTCAGTGAGTTTCTTTTCTGAATTTGTTAACAGGGAAAACTATAACTGTAACTGTCTAATCTTCAACTCCCTCAGAGACCTGAGATGAAAATAATATTAACTGAGTAAGCACGAAGTGCAAACAAGCAATTTCCAAAAATATGTGAGAAATGACACCCACCCAAGGTTCCTCTGCAAGGTTGGGGCATTCATCTTTGGCCTACAGGCCTAGCATAACTGACAGACTTACCTGTGAAGCAGGATTTTCTAAAGGGCCTTCCTACCTTGTCTTGGCAAGGATGGGCAGTCCTTTCTTTTGTGTCCTGCTTGTCCATTTGGACAGCATACTGTCAGCAGTTGAGGCAAGGGCACTTTCTTGCCCAGTGCCTAACTTTTGCCACAAAGAAAATTAACTCCATATGGAGTTTCTTCTATGCCCATCATCTTCTATGAAGTAGATTGGTGCTGCCAGGAGCAGACATATCTCATTATCATAAAGAAAAAAATCTATGTTATTAAAACATTAAATGCCATATTCTGCAGATCTCTGAAGATATTTGAATATGACCTGTCTATCTAAAATATATCTCTATTTGACTTTGAAAACATACCTAACCTGACTACAAGTTCAATTGTAATAAGTGACTATTAGCCTGCATTTCTTTATTAGCCTAAATAGTTTGTAATAATAAGATTCAAGGACTAGCAATTTGTATTACATTATTAAATGAACTGTATAGGTACAATACCTTGAACAAGATTAGAAATATATGTACAGTATATTCTAACAAAATTAATCTCAAATTTGTATCATATATAAAATTTGTATACAATATACAAAAGTCCAATCCAATATAAAATATTTAAAACTAGTAGTTGCCTTCTAAAAGTAGATTCAATAGTCTACCTTTTTATCTTATATCTATATTCCTGTTATTTCTTTTCAGAGTAGATTCAATAATCTGCCTTTTTATCTTATCATATCCATATCTTCCCTTTTTCCTTTTCAGAGTAGATTCAATAATCTATCTGTTTATCCTATCATATCTATATCCTTTGTTCTGAGTAGAGTCAATAATCTACCTTTTACCTATATCCTCTTTTTTTCTTTTCTTTTCTTCTTTTTTAACAAGAACCCTGCATTCAATCTCCTTTGTTTAGCTTTTTTCCTGACCATTATCAATTAAAAACTTTTAACCAACCATCCTAAACAATGACAATTATCCATAACCCATTGAAAAGCCAAAAATCACCCATCCCACCTCTTGGGAATGTAGGCATTGTGTTTTTAAAATTACATGCTGTCTGGGGGCGAAAGCATCTTTAGGGAATCCTGAAAAGAAAAATTTTGGGTTAATTGTCAGTTCATGGGAGAAGTAGCTGTATCATTTGTTGTTCAGTCTCAGGATAATGAGAAAGTTTAGGGCTTGTCTCAAGTACTGGTTAGAGTAGTCTGTGAGGCTGGATCATCTCAGCTAGCCATCCCGAAATTGTCCTGAGCAGTTTGTAGTCCAAAGCTGATCTTTGGGTGTTTGTCAACTTAATAGTGTTATCATGATCCATGTGGAATCATCTTTGTGGGATTGCATCATCTTTTCAAAGATTTCAAAACTCACTATTAGGCGTGGTCATGGTTTACTGCAAAAAATCTCTTTCTTGAGAAATTTTTTTCTGGATGATTTGTGCTTTTTCTTCAGATGTCCCATTTGTCCAGTGTTCTTCAGATTCCTTAGCCTTCATTCTCCTGAAAGACAAAAAAAAAAAAAAAAAAAACCTTCCCCAACCCTACCTTTGGGGAGACTCTTTTTGGCAAGTTATATCTGATCAAGAGAGGTCTCTCTTATTCAAATCTAATCTTTATCAATTTTGATGGTAACCTTAGATTTTCTTCTTCTGTGGAAGCAGAAGCAGATGTTCATGATGTTCACAGATGTTAATGAGTAAAATTTGTTTATAATTCTCTTTCTTTTTTGAGTCTTTGTGTGGTTTGTGTATCAGGGTGATTGTGGCATCGTAAAATGAATATGGCAATGTTCCTTCTGTTTTTATTGTGTGGAATAATTTGTGGAGTATTGGTATAAGCTCTTCTTTGAAAAGTTTGGTAGAATTCTACAGTAAAACAGTCTGGCCCTGAGCTTTTTTGATTGTGAGAATTGTAATGACTGTTTCCTTAGGAGTTATAGGTTTATTTAAATTGCTTATCTATCTTAATTTAACTATGGCAAGTGGTGTCTATCAAGAAATTTGTCCATTTCTATTAGATTTTCCAATTTTGTGAAGTACAGGTTTTTGATGTATGACCTAATGATTCTTTGATTTTCCTTCCCAAATTAGGCACATGACTTTTGACTTGCATTTGTCTGGTCTGCAAGATGTGCTGGGGTATAAGTAGCACGGAAATTGTAAAAGTGGTTAAGCAATGACTGGTCCAGCTTGAGACCGATGCCAGAGAATGTAACCCATCTCTGATACTGCCTGAAGGTCCAGGACTCAGAGGCTGGATAGTCCAGAAGCCTAGGATAGAATTAAACATGACTGGCAAAAAAAATATTTCTAATATTCTGCTATACTCACAGATTGGTGCTTAATCAAAATGTCATCAAAGAGGCTTCATCTAGCAACTGATAGAAACAGATGCAGAGACCCATAGCCAAATATTAGGCAGAGTTTGAAGAATCCTGTTGAGGAAAGGAAGGAAAAATTGTAGGAGCCAGAGGGGTCAAGAACACCACAATAAAATCTACAAGGTCAACTAACCTGGGCTCATAGGGGTCCACAGAAATTGAAAAACAACCAGGGAGCAAGTATGGGACTAATATAGGTCCTCTACATATATGTTATATAGCTTGGTCTTCTTGTGGGACTCCTAATAGTGGGAGCAGTGGCTGTCTTTAACTCTTTGTGCTGGCTTCTAGGACCCTTATCCTCATACAGATTTGTCTCATCCAGACCTCAACTTGATAAGCCATGTTTGCTTGATATCCATGGAAGGGCTGCCCTCCTCTGAATAGAAATTTTAGCTGGAATTTTCTTTGGACCACCAACCAGCTCCCAAATAAAGACGCAGAGATTTATTATTAATTATGAATGCTGGACCTTAGCTTAAGCTTGTCCCACTAGTTATTTTTAGTTTAATTTAATCTGTTTCTATTCATCTATATTTTACCTCAGGGCTTTTTACCTTTTTTTCATTCTATATGTCCTCCTTTCCTGATTCCTCAGTGTCTAGCTGGCTGGCCTCTAGCATCTCTCTTTCTTTCTTACCCTGCTACTCTAAATTCCTTCTCCTACTTACTCTCCCTGCTCAGAAGTTCCACCTATATCCTCCCTTGCTATTGGCCATTCAACTTTTTATTAGACTTATTGGGTGACTTAGGCAGGCAAGGTAAAACAGCAACACATCTTTACATAAGTAAACAAATATAGCACATCTTTATTCAGATAAACAAATGAAACACATATATGCATATTTAAGCAAATATTTCACAACAGAAATGAAGGGGGCAGAGGGAAGTTGGGAGAGACTGGGGGAGAGGAAGGAGGGGAAACAGCAGTCAAGTTTTTAAATAAATAAACAAATAAATAAATAATATTTCAATAACAAACACACTTAGAAAGAGATCGTAGACACTCCTAGTTACAATAGCACAAAAACAAATAAAATATCTTAGAATAACCTAAAAAGGGTGTTAATTAAATACTTCATGCTCATGAATATAGCTATCTTAATAAATATGGGAAAGAGCAGATTTCAATCAGATAATATCTAAAGATGGACTTATACATCCTCCTTGTAAAGACAGGAGTCAAAGAAGCCATGTGTTCAGAGTTCCTCCAGTTACTGACCACTTAAAGGATAAATCTTTGGAGCTGAGGGAGAAGAAACAAAGGTGAATGCCACAGCTTTAAGGATAAATAACTATAAATAAATTAAAGACAGGTGAAAATTACTAACTATGCATGCCATATGAATCTTAAGCATGGAAGACTATCAAATTGCTTACACTCTTTAGACTGTTTCTAATACTGTATCATTAGGAATCTGGCATCATAGATTTCTGCTGAAATTACATACTGAAGTTGGATGCAAAGTGTATTTGGGTCATGTTAAGAGTGACAGGGAGACTTATCTAGTAACTGATTAATTCAAAGTTGATACCTTGGAGTTTTTGTAGCTTCATCTGCTACTGCAATGATAACTGCTGACAAAGGAAATATCAGTTTTCCTCCAGTGGAGTGTCACTGGGTCTATCAACCACACTCTAGGGTAGGCCCCTTGCCAAGGAGTAACTGGCCAACACAAAATGATCTCAATGATATATTTGTGCACTTTTAGTTTTGTTTTACTTTATTTGGGCATGTGTGTGTGTGTGTGTGTGTGTGTGTGTGTGTGTGTGTGTGTGTGTGTGTGTGTATGTGTGTTTATGTGTGTGTATGTATGTATGTGTGTGTTTATGTGTGTGCATGTTGTGTATGTTTGTTATTGGTCTCTTTTACCTATTTGTTTTGTTTTTCATTTTTGTGTTTTTGTGGGGTTTTTGTTCTTGTTCTATTTTGTTTTTTATTCTTTATTCTTTTTCAAGAGAAAGAGAGAAAGAATATAAAGTTGGGTGGGTAGGGAGGTGATTAGGATCTGGAAAGAGTTGAGATGGGAGATAATGTGATCAAAATGTACTGTATAAAAATTTTAATTAGAAATAAAATAAATTATTATAGCTTTAATTTATAAACATCTTCGCTTTAAAATTTTAAAATATATTGGCTTTAGTGTACACATTGTCTTCTCTTTCCCCAGATGGGAACAATAATCAGAATGCAATCTTGACAATACATACAATGGAACAGGATGCCAATTACCTCTTATTTTATTATAACAACCTACAGCTTTTAAGAAAAGTAATATCCCACAAGGGATTCTTTATATTTCTACTTACCATTAATAGTTCTAATATCCTATCCAAGAGGAGGTAATATAATAGGCATACTGTTTGGGATTTGTTCAAGGCTTTGTGCAGATTTTTCCTGAACACATTAGTGCTTTAAAAGAGTAAAATGATTTCCAGAAGAATAAGTTGTTTAACAAGCAATGTTTCATTATTTAAGTGTGTGTGTGTGTGTGTGTGTGTGTGTGTGTGTTGCTTTTCTCCTTGATTGCCTACCTTTACCAAATAGTGTTTAACAGAGAAATTTTATGGAATCAGCATGGTTTTTCTGCTATTATTAAGTGTATCAGTCATTAATTTCAAAAGGAAAAATTATCGAAGTTCACTGCAGTTTGTGGACTTGATGGAGAAAACATTTTAAGTTAAAACTTCCCATCATTAAAAAGTTTGTTCAAATTAAGGGACTGGATTTCTCTAAGACAAAATTGGACTGATTGAAGTACATTTTACTTTTCAAAGGAAATGTGTGATTAGCTGAAGAAAAGCCACCATAGCATGGCTAAGTTAATGAGATTTATAATTTGGTGAGCCGGATCTTCTTTATTATGTTTCAACAGAATAAACTTCAGTTTTTTGTCTTAACAGATAGGTGAAAATTAAGAGAGAGAAAAGAATTGGAAAACTTCTGAAAAGGGAAGAGGTTCTTGGGGATCCAATATGCACTTAGCATAAAAATTGCTCCACTAGACAGTAAATAACTAGTTTGCTAATTTCTGCCTACATTCTGATGACTTTAACTTGTACTTGGCAAGAAGATGTTGTCAAAGCTGCAAATTATTAAAGTCTCATCTCTATTACACTGCCACTGCCTGTTTTTAGTCTCTGGACACATTCCTGGTTAATCATGTCATTTGATTAGACTGGGAACATCCAGATTTGGAAAATATAACTCTGAATTCTGTCACAAAGCTTCCTGAGACAATTAGATCACAAAGGGTCTGAGCTAGTGGATGAATCAATTCCTTGATAGATTTTTATTATCAGAGGGAATGAAAGGTGGGTAGCAGAGCCTCATTAGAGGAAATAGGTCACTGGAAATGTCACTGAGGACTGCGTCTTGCCATTTTCTCCACTTCTGATGCCAATATGAGCTAGTCAGTTCTACCAAGCCTTTCCCACCATGATGGACTGACACTTTGAAACTAAAGCAAAGCAAGCAGTGCCTCTTCATCAGATATTCTCTAATTTGGCCACAGGAACAAAACTGCAATCAGTCCAAATGCTGATAGCACTCTTGACACTGAACAAAACACTTCAAATGATCGGTGGAGTTTCCCCAAGCCTGTGAGAGATAATGCTTAATTGTTTCAGGAAAAGACACATTCTAAGTTGTTATGTGTAGATCATCCTATCTACCAATGATCTGTGTATGCCCAAAATGTCAATTTCGTGTATTTTAGAAATAACAAAGACTCAAGGGGTACAGGTATATATTTTAAACTATTTAAGAGGCATGACATTTTCTTTTAAGCATAAGTAGATCTTACACATGATCTCTTCATGGCCAAAGTATGAATATTGGCTTCCTGATTTTTGTTTTGTTTTGTTTTTCAAGATGGGGTTTCCCTGTGTAGCCTTGGTGCCTGTCCTGGATCTTGCTCTGTACACCAGGATGGCCTCGAACTCACAGAGATCCGCTTGCCTCTGCCTCCCTGAGTGCTGGGACCAAAGGCATGAGCCACCACTGCCCGACTGACTTCCTGATTTTTAAGACTCAATTTCTAGTCTTAAGATATAGAAAGAAAAGAAAATTCTTCTCAGAAGACACAGAAACAAACACAACATATGATTAGGAGAGATGAGACTCAGAACAATTTAGGAGGATCATAATGAAGCAGCAGTATGGGTAATATTTCAGAAACAAAGTAGACAGGAAGTTACATCGAAAGGCAGAAACTCTGTAAGAGGTGGACAGTACAGAATGATAGGAATACTAAAATTTTTCTAGAACAAAGACCTAGGAAGAGCAAGATAAGAATCAATTTAAACAGAAGAAATCCACAAATAGAAAGAATATCTATAGCCAAACTAATAAATGCAGCAACATCTTTTTATTTAGGATATAATTCTTTTTTTACAATTAACATTTTGAAGCACATGATCACTTAGTAGGCAACAACACAAACAATATGATGGATCATATATAAAGGACAGCAGTGTCTTCTATTTCTTTTTTTTTTTTTTTTGGTTTTTCGAGACAGGGTTTCTCTGTGTAGCTTTGCGCCTTTCCTGGAACTCACTTGGTAGCCCAGGCTGGCCTCGAACTCACAGAGATCCGCCTGGCTCTGCCTCCCGAGTGCTGGGATTAAAGGCGTGCGCCACCACCGCCCGGCTGTCTTCTATTTCTTTTTAGTGGGTAGCCACAGGGAAACAGGGACTTAAAGAGTTTATTTATTGTCATCTGGTCTACTCCAGGACAAGGTGCACCAAATTCCCTGTCAGTGGGCCTTTGGAAATTAAAGCACATGAACAATTCTTTAGAGCTATTGAAGTGAACAGGAGAGAACATGTAAAGTCGTTTGGGGGAAAGCATGGCTCATCCTTGAAGTGTATCCTAGGATATCTCTGTGAGCCTTCTATTTTCATATGACCTGTGGTGCTTGTTTGTGCAAACTTGGTTCACCGTCTAGTAACAAAACACCAAAAATCCCACAAACTTTTGAATATCATATATATTTGCAAAGTAACTTTTCTCTTTTATATTCTTTTCTTCAGCAGTATAGTCATGTGTGTAG